CGAGGTACCGGGAAGCAAAATCTGGGGTTTCGTGGAACTGTTGCTGCGTTCTAGAAGGGATCTGAAGTTGAGCTGTCGACGATAAGTTAGCACGGGTGCTTTAGAAATAACTTCGGAGTCTACGAGGTGGGAAGTGGCGTTCATGATTAGTTCGCCGAGCCTAGGTATGGAGGGATGGAACGTGAAAATGGAGGGGGTGGAACGGAGGTTTAGATCTTGGTTGGGGAAATAGGGTGTCATGCCACGATATGTTAGAGACGCGGCTAGTGGCATTGCGCAGAAGGCCGAGTGGATAATTACGTTGAATAAAGAACGTAGTCCTCGTCTCAACCTGGTGACGGAAATCAATGTTGACGCTGCAAATCCTACGGAGGCGGAGAATTTGTGAGAAGGAAATAGAGTTTATTTGGGACCTAGGAGGGTTCGAGGAGCAGAGAAGGTAGCTATGGCTGTCAGTGGGTTTATAATGTAGACAGGTGTGGAACTTGTAACCGTCACTAGTGATTTTTAAATCTAGGAATTTGAAAGAGGATCTCGATACCACTGGGGTAAACTTGAGGGAGACTTCGGCGTTACTGAGTGCATTGGTGAAGCGGTCAAGTACGAGAGGGGGGCCAAAATCAAAACACCGTAGAGAAGGTGAGTGAGTAGCCTAGCCCACTCGCCTCTTTTCTTATGTTCGCTCCGCTAAAGTGAAAGGAGTGGATTGCTTTGCGAGAGGAACTTGTCCCGCTTTCCTTAACTTGCAACACAGTAGAGTGCGAATTAGCGTCTTTATAAAGCAAGTGTTCTCAAGCATCTGATGCGCTTAGCTCAGTCGGCATAGTACCTGACTAAGAATTTCTCGGTCCCAAGTTCAATTTCTGTCAGTAGTTTTGCGACCGTGTCTTAATAATTACCCCCGTGGGTCCATATGCCTCCAAAAACTTTGACATACGTGTAACGGTCGAGCTTGGCGGTTGTTTCGTAGAAAACGAGCGTATATACACATTTTGCGTTGAAAATAAATAGTCCTACTCGTGGGCGTGTCGAAGAGACGGCCACGAGTAGGACCATTTAGGCACTGCCAGAGAACAGGGCACAGTGGTACGAGAGTCGTTATCAAAAGCCTCTCCTTTCAAACGACATCCGCAATCCGGTAGACCTAACAGCTCCAGCTACTGGCTGCGGCAACCAGTCACGGTCTGCCGCAATGAACAGACATTCACTTCCTGCCCTATCAAAGTGTCGTGGTCGAGAGATCGATAAACGATGGCAACCAGGGCCTGCCTTAGGCGTGGGGGACCTGGGCCGTCACCCGGAGTGCCATCAAAAAGGTGGGCGCGATGGCGCCCCTCTTTTTAATTTTTTTTTTGACACGTTAATTATTTAACATTAACGCTATATGCTCGATTCCCGTTCGTTTTGGAATGCGGTTCTCGACTGACAAATACTCATATGTTCAGTAACAATGCAATGTCGTACAAGGGGGGCGGGGGCCTTGTCGGAGTTTGGACAGGGCGGCTAATGGTGTAAGCGTACTGCACGTACGCTTGCACCATTAGGTGTAAGCGTACGTGGAGTACGCCTACGGAAAACCACGACGTACTGCACGTGGTTTTCCGCACCACCAGGCTTGCGGCGTCGGTTACATGGCGGGCTTTGCCTACTACCTTCTCGCGGGCATTTTTGCTGGTGCTTGCCGCACGGGGCGCTGCGTTAGGCGTTCGGATTTAGCAATGCCCCCGGCAGTAAGCCTTGCCATTAAAGTAGAAAAAAAAATCCTGTATACAACTACTTGCTCTCTACCACACTTTCCACGCACTGTAGCAACTGGCGACTGTGTTTAACTCGACACACAACTCCCCTGTACCCCATCTTTCACTTTGTCTACTTTTAGGCACAGTGTTTTAAGAGGTAAACAATCATTTAATTTTGTTCTTATATTAAATTTTCTTCCATCTGTGTTAAACCTGACAGACTTAAGAGAGCAAAACAAAAGAATGACCGTCTCTCAACCTGTCTTTATTCGCTTCTCGTCTCTCTTCTCTGTCTTTTGATTTTGATACATCATAGGAAGCGCACTTTAGTAAAAAGTGTGTGAAAGCGACTGGACCCTGTAGAGGCATTACCAAAATTTTACATTTTAGGCGGGCTTGATCAGGAGCTTGCTTTGCTGGCTTATTCCTGGTACTTGTACGGTTAGATGGACAGGTTTAGAGCTTCCGACGGTGTTTACACTGCATCTCACTAGCTACGTGCTGCGTTGCCAAAGGTACAGGGGTGAGAGCGTAACCCCAGCAGTTGAAAAAGGTAGACAGAAGGGAATGCCCTCTTACCAGAACCCTCTTTTGTTAACCTCATATCGCCCCTCGGGCACAAAATTCGCGCAAAAATTAATTTCCTTTTTCTCTCGCCCGTAGCTTCCGGAGTATTGCGCCTAACTAGCAAGATAGAGTATAGTTGGGGGCTCAAACTGTTTTAAGAAGGTCAGAATCCTCAAAGGCCACTTCGCATTTACTGTATTAAAACTTGCAAATGGTGTTCAGCCTTACGTCAGCAACATTTAAAGCTGCAGTTTCTCGGTGGTACTTCTAAATCACTACGGAAAACGTTTTAAGGTACTGTATTGATTTGTTGCGGGGGACAGGGGCAAAACGTGAACGGAAAAAAAGTGAAAGTCGTTTACTACTCCCTGTAACGCCGAATTGGAGCGCAGCTCTTGAGGAGGAGGAGGGAACGGTACTGAGGGGCACGTGTTCTCGGGGGGGGGGGGGTCACGTGACCCCCCCGAGGGCACGTGACCTTGGTGGGGTCACGTGGGGGCAAACACGTGCCCCCTCAGAGGTCACGTGACCTCGGGAGGGGGTCACGTGACCTCGGGGTGTCACGTGACTACCCAGGTCACGTGACCCCCCGGGTCACGTGACCAAAAATTTTCCGCTAGATTTAGCGGGGAAATTTTTTCCGCTAGGTTTAGCGGGGAAAGTTTTCCGCTAGATTTAGCGGGGAAATTTTTTCCGCTAGATTTAGCGGGGAAATTTTTTCCGCTAGATTTAGCGGGGAAAGTTTTCCAATAGATTTAGCGGGGAAATTTTTTCCGCTAGATTTAGCGGGAAAATTTTCTGCTAAAAAGCGGGGAAATTTTTCCGCTAGATTTAGCGGGGAAATTTTTTCCGCTAGATTTGACGGGGAAATTTTTCCGCTAGATTTAGCGGGGAAATTTTTTCCGCTAGATTTAGCGGGGAAATTTTTTCCGCTAGATTTAGCGGGGAAATTGTTTCCGCTAGATTTAGTGGGGAACTTTTTTCCGCTAGATTTAGCGGGGAAATTTTTTCCGCTAGATTTAGCGGGGAAACTTTTCCGCTAGATTTAGCGGGGAAATTTTTTCCGCTAGCTTTAGCGGGGAAATTTACCCATAATGCACCGCGCGGTTACGCCGACGGCGACGGCGACGGCGACGGCGACGGCGACGGCGACGGCGACGCCGCTCAAGCCGGAAACGGGCGCCTAAGAGCTGCGCTCTAAAAGAAAGACGAAAGTCCGTTGTAATCGAGGAAAGTATAAATGGTGTCTCCACCAGAGCAGGGCGACCTCGCGGGAGTCACCTCCCTCCCTTCGGCTCGCGTAGGTGATTATGTGACCATAGCGACAACCAATGTCTTTTTCGAAAGACGTCGCGCAAGAATCTGGGTACACTAGACAGGATACCCAAGTTTTCCCAGCGAAAAGCCATTTCTAAATATGATGATTGTGTCAGGTAGTACCAACTTACCGCCCCAAATATTTTCATTTATAAAAACAAAAGTCAAAACTATGTTTGGGGAAATTTTTTTTTAATTTTGAGCATTTGAGGGGACAATAAATTTCACTGTTTTTGTAATTTTACGTTTTCTCCCGAAGTCTGAGGCGGGGGGTGATTATTTTACAACCTGTACTCAATATAGAAATTAAAAATGAACACCTTTTTCGCATCTATTCTTCAAGCTTGCATGAAACAAAACAATATGCTGAAATACAAATATTTTAAGTCCGTAGAAATTTATAAATTTATTTACAGTTTATTTTCTTATTAATCTGAAAAAAAAATGAAAGCCGTGTACAATTCCCTGTAACGCCGGATTAGAGCGCAGCTCTTGAGGAGGAGGATGGAAGGGTACTGAGGGATAGGTGACTCCTTGAGGTCGCGTGACCTCGGGGGGGGGGGGGGAGGTCGTGTGAATCAGGGGGGCCACGTGACCTCGGGGGAGGGGGTCACGGGACTTCCGGAGGGTCACACCACCTGAGGGGGTCGCGTGACCTCAGGGGTTGACGTGCGTGACCTCGGGGGGGGGGGGGGGGGGACGTGACCTTTAAGGCGGGAACGGGCCCCTAACAGCTGCGCTCTAAAAATATGCATTTTCAAGTTTGCCCTTAAATTCCCAAGGTTGACCTTAAATTCCCAAGGTACATGTATGTTATATATAGTGCCAGCTGAACATAAAAAAGTATTAGAGAGAGAGACTAGAAACTGTTTAATAACATCATATTTTTCTTCATCTATATTCCTTTTTTTTTCATCTACACCTACACTGAATTTAATTTAATTGAGGAACTTCTTCCTCTTCTAGTCTTTTAACCAAACACCTTCCTCGTCTTTCATTTGTCCGCCATGAAGAAAAAGATTATCTTAATAAACAGTTGCTAGTCTAACGGTATGTATGCCTTTTCTATGTCTCTCTAATCCTTTTATGTTCAACTAGCACTATATAAAGTAATGAACCAACTAGCTAAGCTTCAACCGGTACAGGTATGTTAGCAAACGTACATAAAATATATATTTAAGCATTTATTTCATTAAATGAAAAAAAAAGCTTTCGGGGCCATTCAAAATGGTAACCATGCGCTGGCAACCTCAGCATTTAGCTGTAACTTTGATGCTTGGCACATATATCCTTATTCTTTTTGAAGGTACGCAGCATACTCGTTTACTAGCAGAAATGGGTTCTGCAGATGTGAGAAAGCAGCAGACAAAAACTTACCAACGCTGAGGGGTGCCTCTCTCTTCTGGCGATGTCGCGGTTGGCAGGACAAATCTAGGAAAATCAAGGGTTGGAATGACCCATCATTTAAGTGTATGCTATTGTGTAAAAACGCACGCATCTTCCTACGCACTCTTAAGACTATCGATGCATGCGGTTAAGGCGGAGAAGTTCCGGCTTCTCTTTTGGCGGCATGCGACTGTACAACTCTAAAAAGTCTGATTACTTTATTTTCTATTTGCGCGTTTTCGCACATTGTAGATGTCTTACTAAATGCACAATCGTGTTTGCTCAATTTTAAGCGATACGTGCGTCCAATGGAATGGGTTTTAAATTGTGCGGGTTGACATATTGCAAACCTCCTGCCTAAAAACGAGCCTGGGTTTGTCCACACCGGCTCTCGGCATTGGGCATGCGCAGAAATCACCGTAATGCGCGTGCCCCCTAGAGTATTATGATGAGTTTCTAGCTGCTCGATGGGGTCACGCGGTTTATCGGACGCGTTTTTAATGCGAGCTGCGAGCAGGTGCCTAAAGAGTTGATCGTCTGGAAATGTGTCCGCCTTTTCTCCCGCTTTTCTCCTCTCCAGGCGAAAACGCAGAGCATACGCACTTGAGAGCAATCTCCGAAGGAGGCGCCCGCCGTTAAATATAAAACGCTCCCCACGGTTTCGAATTCCCTTCAATCTCTCTAATGCGCCGTGTCGTTTTATGTTGTATATTCCATGTTCTATGATCTATGTTCAGTGCTACGCCAGACCGTTGATCCGTACCGTTTCGCTTGGGGCGGTCGTCGTTCGTGTTGGCCAGCAGCAGCACCCCGGCGTCGTGCAGGGCTTGGACGGAGTCGGTGCCACCTCCCGCTCCGCAGCCCAGGTCTTTGGCGTCCAGCTGCTGGAAGAGCTGCGTGCACGACACGCAAAGCACATCTGTTGGAATACTCGGTCCTTTTCGCCGTAGCCCTGGGGTTTATTTGTACAAACTTAGAAAGTCAATGCGCCTTCTAAACTACCAAATCATTTGAAATCACTACGTCATGACGTCACTTTATTGAATAATGAAAACGTACCTAACACCGCATAACACGGCGCACTTTTAAATATTATTTTTTTCCCCCTGGAGTTCTCGCGGCTTGCCTGGTAGCGCACCGATGAATGGACAAGCTGCAGATTGCATATCATTTGCTCAGACTTGTTATCGTGACCCTACTGGCGTTCAGATTAAGTTCGCTAAAGTGTTTTACATCATTCGGAAAAAACTGAATTCGTGTTTCGGTCACGTGGCCTGATGTCACGTGATCTATATATATGCTTCCCCGCCAGAGTAGGCGGGGAGATTGATATCGCGTGACCTGACATCACGGGACCTCTAGTCTGAACTTTGAATTCTTGATCATTTGACGTATATTGGGGTAGATTGTTAAGCTGTCTTTTTATCCGGCCATGATGATTATTCATCGCAGCCCTAAAATTTTTTGAATTGTTTGGATGCGGTAGTTCTACAATGACATGTGTCGTGCGCACCGGTCGCGCACGACGTAATACAGTACTACTGCGAAAGCCTTGTTGTTTTTTTGTGGTGCACAACAATAAAATTCAAAGAACTCAACAAAATTAATTCCATCGGGGAGTTTTAAAGTTGGTTCTGATTACCTCGTTAAAGCGTTTAACCTGTTCATTTTCACTCGAATTGTAAATACAGGATTTTGAGTGCATGACAGTTCCATCTTTTAGAAAGTCCTTGAACAGTCGAGGCACGATTTGTAAACGTGGTCTCACAGTAGTACATCGAGACAGCCTTGGCTAAGGAAGATTCGCAGTAAGAAGCTTATTAGAGCATATGCCTTTGGATGTAATTAGAATACAACCCCGTTCACCTGCTCAAATGATCAACTACTGCCGACAGCCATATCATCAGCTTCTAGGAAAACTTCTAAATGAACGGACAAACAAGCTTGAAATTTGTTTTCGTGGTACTGTTGGCTAAGTAACTGGTTGCATTCGAACAGGGGCTGTTTTATTTTTTTTTTTTTGTCATTTTACTAGGGGACAGGGTTGGGCAGAAATACTATTAAAGGTGTTTGGAAGCACAAATACTAGCGTACATAGCAATTAAGGCTAACATAAAATAGTGATATTGAAATACAATATCAAAAATGTACCAGAAGAAGTATCAAAAATACATTCGAAAAAAAAGAAAAACACAAGAAAACTCTTCAAGGGACAAACTTTTGGAACTTAATTACATATTTCTAAAACAGAAAAAAACTATTTTAAATGATCTTGCACTGCCTAGAACTATTTGGGTGTGTCCAGTAATGTACACGAAGGAGAAAAAAAAAACTATGATTCACAATTCTCTATATGCGTAATCTCCATTACGAAAACCATTTTAAGCTAACAAACAAGCAATCGCTGTAAGATAGTCTAATTGTTTACTTTGTCATATTTTTATTCAAATTAAATTTACCACATAATTAACACCTCGCATTTTGTGCCGTAGTAAGGGAAGCGAGTTGTTATTGTTTTTTAACTATGGCTCGAGCGCAAATTTGTTTTCGCGATCTATCAACCATTCGAGGCAAACTTCCATGAAATCGAAATCAGTTTTGTGTCCTTCCAGGTTACCTTGAGAAGTCACCATGATTTTCACCAACCAGGCGCCACTTTCAGAATTGATCTTTCTACATAACCGAGAAAATGAAGTTTTATTATGGTGCCTGGATCGCGTCTTCGACTGGTGTGTTTAGCGTCCTATCCCGCCCATACATCAAAAGTGGTCCCGATGTGGCAACAAATGACGCGAGTGTCATGCTGTTGCCTGTCGCGATCCTGGCGGTTGGCCGTAGAAATGTTGGCAAAAAGCACGAGCGAACGCAAGTGTCGCTGTCGTCACGGTGTCCCGTTAGGCGTCCCAACTTCCGGTTGCACTAGCTTCCGTGAACTGTCACAGTGGAAAGCGACCTGCAGCAGAACAGGCATCTGCTACACACACCATAACTGTTGAGACGCCACCAGGGTCGCGACCGGCGACAGCATGACACTTCTATGACGTCATCAGGCGGAAATCGAGGGACCACTTTTTTGGCCGCGGTAAACACACCAGTCAAAGACGTGATCCAGGCACCATAGTTTTATGAAACCGTAGTCTTTCATTTGTCATTTAGACGCACCGACAGCGCCTTCAAGTAGTGAATGTACAGGAATAATCGGCAACCTAAGTCCAACAAAACATGTTTAATATTTTACGATGTGGAGTAAGGGGCCATGTATATTATGATACAAACGTGCCAGATGAAACTTGGTCTTCACCTTCTGTATAGATGTCAACGACTCCATGATATTTGTAACAAACTACATCGTGCCCTAATGGTATTGCTATACCAGGAACACACCCAAAAATGTGTTTCGATACAGAAATAGAAAATACACTGCAAAATTTGGGACGCGATAAACAAATTATAAATGCGTAGAGCATTCCCGAAATACTATCGCGATACATTTGTATCACGATATTGTGCAACACTGATGGCAGGCCATCTTTTGTTCAAAGACACCAGCGTTCACTCGTTGCTACGAGTAGTTGTCTCAAAGTGTCCATTTGCTTTGTGCAATTTCAGGATGAAATCCGCGGTCGATGTCAATGATCCGACGACAAGTGTTCTTACTATACACCGGGTGACCCTTTTTATTTAAAACAGATTTTTAAAAAAGGCGTCTTTACTGCAACGTGAATGCCGTCTTCACTCTATATTTCTTGAGCTCGGCGGACACTCGAGGGGCAAACAACCGTCACAGTCAGGTGAGTAATAAATTAAAAGTAATTCATTACCGTTTTAGTTAGTGAGAATAGACATTAAATAGTGCAAATAGACAGATAATTCCGGTCGGAAACTTGCTGAGCGTCATTTAAAACCACTAAATCAGTTATTTTCAGAAAGACTTTGAGCGGGAAAGAAACACGGTAGTGCGCTAGAGCTATCACCCGTGCAGCAGGAACAGAGCTACCGGCGCGATAAGACACCCTCACAATTTGTTTCGTCACTCACCATAGCCCCAGCCTTGTACCTGCTGCACAAGTGGTCGATTTAGCACACTACTTTGCTCCTCACGCGCTCAAAGTCTTTCTGAAAATTACAGATTTAGTGGTTTTAAGCGACCCTCAGCAAGTTTCATATTTGCAACCATGTGTCTTTTTTCACTGATTGAAAAGTTAACTAACGAATTTTAGGTACTTACTCACCACACTGACTGTTGTTCGTTCCTCGAATGTACCCCGGGCTCAAGAAACATGTGATAAAGACGGCATTCACGTAACAATAAAGACGACTTAAAAAATTAATAAAACATATCATTCCGTATAATAAAATTGGAGAAGTTTTTAAGGTAGAAAATTGCGCCAAAATAAATCAACTTACACCTCGAATAAAGCGCAATTCGCGGCCTGTAGGAAGCTGTTGCCGCCGAAACAATCCGCTTGGATCGGGAATCAATACCGAGACATCTCCAGGGCTAGCTGAGAGTTCTATTAACTATGCTCACAAGGAGCAAACAGTAGAGCAAACAGGTCTCAATTTATTCTTCCGTAGCTCTTCACCCATGGGCTTCGCCAAAATATTTATAACTATAATCATCAAAACTGCTGATGTCACAAGGGTGACATCAATGCTCGTAACGATGCTGGTAGCAACTGTTAACACCTGCTTGTTCTATTGATGGCTAGCCCTGGATAGTTGAGCTCGTATAACGCACCACTCAGCTTTAAGAGGTCCCGGGATCGAATCTAACACAAGGCGATTTATTTAGCTGCCGACAATCGCCTAGAGGGCGCGAGCAGCGCTCCATTCCAGGTGGAGGTCGATTTATTATTTCAAATTCTTCTTTGTGTCAAAAACTCATAATTACGTTAAACGAGACCCTCAACCACTGAAAGCATTTCATGGAGTTTGAAGAAATATTGCATGTAGTTCTCGCACGCCACTCAGAATGTTTTCAACAACTGATGATCTGCAGTATTTGCTAGTGTTTCACCTTGATAATTATCCGTCTCAAACTCATTCGAGGTGACGCTTTGCAGCTGTGCTCAGACTGTTTTGATACCTTTAGCGTCGCTCGAATCTTTATTTTTGGTACCAGAAGGATGTCTCAAAATTCGCCATCAATCAGATTCTGTTCGCTCCACCGGTTCTTCACTTTACAGTTGAACTCCAATAATCTCGCACACCAGCGAGTGATGCGCATAAGTTACCTACAAACCCTTGCGTGGTCTGCGATGTACACATACTATAAAATTATTTCTGAAAGGAAATATTGTCTGCACTCTGCAATTTAAAAAGCCAGCCGTGATTCTTGCGTTCGAACTGAGTATCAGCGCTTCGTCTCAGACATTGTCCTTGACGCAAGCGCCGCTGTTCCGACGTCTTTCGGTTGGAGCTAATATAGACCAAATCCTAGAGCATAACTGGCATTCGTTGTCACCATCGTTTCAAGAAAATTCAAATATAGCACAGCGTATATTGATTAGGTTCACTTCATCTCCGAATGCTTGTGCTTGTCCGGCCGTCCATAAGCAACAACCTATTGCTCATCAAGGCACGGAGCGGATCAACCACTTCTGAGTAGTGTGGATGAAACTTTAAGTAATATGTCGCAAGTACGAAGCACTTTCGGGTGCCATGCTGATTGTGTTCAATGTCCTTTCAACTGGTTTGATGCATTCTTTCTATAAATGTTCTCCAAGGTACCTCAACTCCATGAGTGAAACTTTCATTTGATCCTATCAAGTAGTAACCCACTGTTTTCTACACGTGATAGAGCTCGATTTAATTTCCCAGTGTGGTTGTTTTTTTAGGTATCCTTGCGACAACAATATTGTCAATTTGACATAACTTAAACGAAGGAAGG